GCAATTAGCATTTGTGTCTATTTTTTTGGGGGTCGTGTCGAAAATCTCTATCATGTCATTTATCTTTGGTATCGTGTTTTTCTAAACGTGTATTGTTCGAGTAATTCAGTGGTGGATCCAAATCAGATACCATATTCAACATAAAGGTGAATTGAAATCGAGATGACAAGAGTAGACATGGTCGTGGCCCGACCCATGGATTCAGCCCAAACCGGCCCAAATTTGGCTTGTGGTCAACTTGCCTTAGACTAAGCTCGTGGTTTGAATGGGCCGGTTGCGGGCCATACATTTGTAGTTTTTTAGCCGTTGGGCCGGCACTGAACATGAACTGAAACCGACAGTTCGGCCTTTTTTAAAAAAAGATAAAATTTGTTATTGTTTTTTAATTGAACCAGACTGAACCAAAACCAGCATTTTACTAAACCAACTCGTGCATATCGGGCCGATTTGGGGCCCTCCAATCATCGGCTCGGAACCGGAAAATGGCCACGTCTATGACAGAGCCAAATAGCAAAAAAATGGATCCTGGTTTTATGCATTTTTTTTTTTTTTTGTTGGTTAATTAGGTGACTTAATCATCTTCATGAGAAGTGACTATTGAACTAGATAAGCTTGAACTTATTATATTGTCTTTCATCAGTTGTAAATCTATCTTTCTTCCTTCGGCATTCTTGTTCTCGCCTAGTACGGACATCAACTGGTGGGCCAAAGAATTAATTCGAGGAGTATAGACAAGAAAACTTAATTTAGTCAGAATTAATTCGAGGAGTATTAATTCGAGGAGTATAAGCCGGTTCGGCTCGGTTCGTCGCTTGCTCGACTGGTTTTGACTAATTTAACAATTCAAAAATATAATAAAAAGTTGTCCGCTAATATAAGTTGTGGAAAAAAAAATTTAACCTCCCAAAGTATACTCGAATTTAGAGTTTGTCGTACGAACTTTTTTTTCTTGACAATTTACCTCCCACAGTAATCGAAACTGACAATTTGCCTCCTTGATTGAAAATCCTATTATGGCATAAAAAGGTATTTTTAACTCAATTAACGATAAATTTTAAATTGATCTTTAAAATTGATCTAGGGCTTTTAAAACCATGGCAAGACGAACAAAACAAGGTATAGTATCGACAAAAATAAAAGGAGCACGTGTATAGAAAAAAATTTCAATCAAGTTTTTAATAATATCAAGATATCCGATTTTCGCTTGAGAAATGTTATTGGAAAGCTTGGGACCAATTTCCTAACGAGTAAATCTTATAAAAAATCTAACGGTCGGATTTTGATCAGTAATTTTCTAACTATTGATCAATAGTTAGCTTTTTTTAGGCTACTAACCAAAATACGACCGTTGAATTTCATAAGATTTACTTCATTAGAAAACTCTTCCTCCAAGCTTTCAAACGACATATTTTAATCAAAAATCGGATATATTAATTATCAAAAAAATTGAATTGATTTTTTTTTTCTCTAAAACACGTGCTCCAACTATCTTGTCGATCGATTACAGAGATATCAATTTTCAGAAAGTGACAAATCATACCTCGTTTTGTTCGTCTCGGCATGGACTTTAAAAACCCCAAATCATTTTAAAGATCAATTTAAAATTTATCGTTACTTGAGTTAAAAATAAAAATAAAAATTGTGCTATTATAGGATTTCAATCGAGGAGGCAAATTGTCAGTTTCGATTACTATGAGAGACAAATTGTCAAAAAAAAAAAAAAAAAAAAATCGTAAGACAAACTCTAAAATCGACCATCCTTTAGAAGGTTAATCATTTTATTTTCCTACAATTAGTGCGTTTTACGAACTTGTTTGCCTCGACTACTCATTCGATACCTATATACATAAATAATTAAATTGTTCAACTTTTTGTAATACTAAAATATGATTTAATATATATATATATATAAATAATTATTAGCATAATATTTGCCCCACCAGTCCTAGCTATACCTAGATGCTACTAATTGACTCTTTGAAATAGTGAAAAAAGAAGACCTGGCCCATTGGCCCAAGATTGATCCTTTTTGGTATTTCACACATAATGTTGAGTCCTTTCCAGGTAATTAAATCAATACATATTTTATAATTACTTTTCATATGAGTGAATGTAATAAAATATCAATAAAAAATCTGATAAGGATCATTAAAATTGACTCTTTGAAATAGTAGACATGAAATGCTGTGTAATTTAATCTCATCCACGCCGGATTATCGGCTACCTTCGGACAAAAAGTGATCAAAATTAAAGAAAAGACCATACGAATTTAAAAAAGTGGTTTTGGAAAATGGTAAGGTCTCGGTACGAAACTATTTTGTCGGGATTTGTAATCGTTAGATCATTATGTAATCGTCAGAAATAATTGATCAAACAATTATAAATTCCGATTGGAATAGTCCGTAACGGAACCGTAGCATCGTCCATTTTTTTACTGTATAAATTGAGCTGGCAAAAGAGGAAGAAATAAAAATAGGCGTTTTACATAAATCATTCATATGAATTCGAATCTTTGGACGAATATTGATTGACCGCAAAATTTTTGACTGTTCCCACACATTCCGCAATTTAAGTGTGTAACTTTTTAGTACAATTAGATGACATAACATGAAATAGCACGATAAGTACAAAATAGAAAAATATAATCATAAATATAAATTACACTAATATATAGTTATAAAATATTAGTTTAAATTTTTATAATTTAGAAGTTATAAAAATCGAAATGGTTATTCAGTTTTTCAAATACTTTCTTAAAACATATTATCTATTGAATTTTATTCGAAATGACACCACCTATATGATCTGCTTGTCCTAATATATATATTTTTTTTCTTATAATAGACTCTATAGATAAATATAGTCAGCAATTACTATTTTTATTATTTTAAGATATATCAGATAATTTATTTTTTTACTTATAAAGGTAGTGTGTATATATATAATATTAAATTAAAGATTGTCAAAAATGATTAATGTAATATATCATATACAAAAATTGATAACCAATAAAAGATTTATTAAGTATTAATTATAATTATAATTTAAGTTGTTTAAGTGTTTTACAATTTTAAAAGTTCTAATACAATTTGATACAAGTCCAAATTTACATGGACTACTCAAGCAGCACAATGTGACGCGCAAAATTATGAAGCACCATAAATCGACATATAAGATTCAAAGTACGATAACTTGGTATGTTGATTCGAGAAACTATGCATTTATATATAAGAAGAATGTAGACATGACAAAATAATGCAAGTTAATCCACACATAACTTGACGTTGATGATCTTGCAACGATTATAAAATCCAATGGTCGAGATCAAAATTATAGTAGTTGGAAACCTGTGGCACACCCGCCAATTTTGGGTCCGACCCAACCCGGATAATGCTACCGAGTTTCAAAATGAAAAATTTTGAAATTACTTATTAATCTTGGAATAGGCAATGTTATAAACGAGCCAATGCTCGATTCTGACCCGAGACTCTCTAGTCAATGGACTCAAATCGGTGGTCAACGAGTTTGTCCCGTCGAGGTTTTGTGTTAACTCAACCCAATAGGCATGTCTAATTGAATATACATTCAACAATTCTTACTAATCCACCAATTAAAAAAAAAAACACTATTTATTTATGTCACTTTATTTTTTTCACTATTCTCAATATAGTTTTTAAATTGATATTAGATCATTATCATATATTTCTTTACATAATTTACTACTAAAACCACCCATATACTTATAATTATCAATTCTCAATTTCCTATTTTCCATCATATATATCACAATTAATTATTACTTTACATTACTTTACATTGTAAAAGTTAATATTTCACTATTTATTTTTTTTTTTCTAAAAAAAAAATAACTCATCAAAAGTAAACTACATATATATTCTACATGCAACCCCACCCTAAAACTTATTTAAATAAGGCTCCCTACATTATTTTTATGTTAACATTAACATGAACTGCCATATAGCTTTATGTTTCATTAGTCCTAGCAAACAGTGTTGTGTTGGAATTAATACCCGCAATTTATAGTGTAAATTATATAAATTTATATAATAATAGTAAAAAGTCCATTTTCTCCCTCACCAAATTCGTAAATTATGACCTTTATTATGCTCATATCAAAGTAAAAGTTTAGAATTAATAAATATATATATAAAAAGATCCTCCCCATTATATCAGATCAGAAAAATATTTCACAATTTTGACGTGACATTTGAAGATAAGGCCAAGAATAGTGCCATAATTCCCATCTGACCAAATAGAAAAAAAAATAAATAAAATAATAATAATAATAATAAAAAGATAAAATTTTAAAAAAAAAATGATAAAGACATTCACACCTGTCACAATCCACATTTTCCTAAATAATCATCACATAAGTATGACTATAGCCAACACTTGAAAAAAAAAACAAATAACTACTATATTGAAATAAAATAAACAAAAAAAAAATTATAATCAGACTTTTTTAATCCCTAGTTTCAAATTGAAATGAATTCCTTTGAAAAATAAAAAATTTATTTTTGTTAGGTTGACCTAAAATTGGCTCATCATATTTTTTTCATAAATATACATACTTTTATTATAAATACTTATAATACTATATTATAAGTATAACATTTGAGAAGTATAAATACAATTAATGTGCATATATGTACAAATAGTATAATTAGTCGATCCTGCTTAATTGTTAAACTGTCTCAATCAAACAATTATTTTTAAATAAAACTTTGATATTTTATAATATAAATATTTATTTATTTATTTTTAAATGAAAAAAAAAAGTGAGATGAATAATCAACCAAACTAACCATTATGTGTGAATAAAATAGAAGAGTTCCACTAGTTGTGTTATATATAAAAACCCATCACTCACCAACTGCAATAAATTACACATTTTTTTATTTTTATTTTTTAAGAAACACAAACAAAAGAACCAAAAAAAAAAAACAAACAAACAAACACAAAAATATTGGCAAAAAATAATGGAAAATTGCTATTGGCCAGGAGAGTATGGGCCGTGGGGCTACAACCACCAGGGTGAAGCCACCGCCGCCGCCGCGGCGCTGCAGTACCACCTGTACGGCCCGTCCGGCGGACTTCCGTGGGGCTCTCCGTACGGAGGGGCGGCGCCGGGGGACAAGGCGGCGAGCGCCTCCAGAAGCCACAGTGAGGCGGAGAAGCGGCGGCGGGATAGAATTAACGCTCAGCTTTCCACGCTTAGGAAACTCATCCCCAAGTCCGATAAGGTACATTTTTTTTTTTAAATATATATATATATACGTATATAATTTTTTATTCTTTTTTTTTTTCAGATGTGATTTGTCTTTACATATATGATATGATGATGATGATAAATATTGAAATCAAGTACAGTCGGAATAATTGGAAATAAATTAAAGAGGTCATTAAAATCATGTTATGCCCCTAATTATAATCGACAATTCGACATAAAATAGTCGATTAAGAAATTATGAAAATTAAGTTATAAGAGAAAAATACAATATGGCTTGATTATTTATTAATCGGATTCTTCTAATTAAAGAAAATTGTATAATGGAATAAACCCAATATTCATTTATCACTATGCACTTGGATGCAGAGCCATTTGATTAGAACTGTAAATGAGTCGAGCCGAGCTAGAAATTTATAAATTTTATGTATAGATTCTTTTTTTTCGAGTCTTAACGAGCTTATATTAGCCCGACTCGTTAACTAAACGAGAATTTAACTCGAGCCCGAGCTAACGGACGATTCATGTGTGCTTAATTACGTGCTCACATTTTGATATATTAGATATAAATGAGATAATTTCTTGCTTACATCGTGCCTTTTGATATGAAAGTAATTGTAAGATTAATTAGAATTTAGTCATAAATCATTTTATATAAAATAACTATTTTTTTTTCATAAATATTTCCAACATGTGCAATTTTGTACAGTTGGACAAGGCAGCCCTACTTGGACACGTGGTGGATCAGGTGAGGGAACATAGTAAAATCGCGAAGGAGGTTAGCAAATCCTTCGCAGTCCCAACGGAGACCGATGAGGTCACGGTTGACCACTCAAACGACGATTCATCGCAGGATAATCGAAACATTTATTTTCGGGCCTCGATTTGTTGTGATGATAGGCCCGAATTGTTTGCCGAGCTCAACGGCGCCATCAAGGGATTGGGCCTTACCATACACCACGCCGAAATCACGAGCATAGGTGGAAGGATGAAGAGCAGTCTCATATTGTGTGCGGATAATAATAGTAACGATGATAATGATAATAATAGTAATGAGAAAAAATCTAGTCGCGAGTCGATTAAGCAGTCGTTAAAATTGGCGTTGAGTCGTGTTGTTATATCGGTTGGGTCGTCGGGTTACACGGCCCGGAGCAAAAGGCAGAGGTTTTTTTATCCGAATTATCGTTGACCGGTTGACCTTTTGAAGACGTTTTGTTTCCCCTCATTTTGGTTTTCATTTACTTTTTTGCTTACTGCAATTTCATTATGCAATTATTGAGATTCTATGACTTTGGTGGCTAGGACGTGTTAGCTTAAATGGTCTATATACGATGGCCCACTAATTACTCTATTTTTCTTATATTGAGTGTAGCCCTTTAGGTAGGAAGTAGGCCCAACAGGCTTCAGGCCTCAGCTACACAGATCTGCCTAAATTACCCTTAATCAAGCCATAGGCCCATTTAATGAATATATAGGTGGCCCATCTATTTTTTTTTTTTTTTTTTTAATCATAAACTGCTCATTACAAAATTTATAATAAAATATAAAATTAAACTAATGTTTTTTTATTTAACTTTTAAAAATTGTTTTAATAATTTCTAATTAATAATTTATATAAAGATTGATACAAGTTCGAACCAAATTGGAAAGGTTCATACGTGGTCAAGCGGGTATTTCCGAGAGTTGTTTACGAACTGAGAGGTACTCAAGGGAAGCTCCTGCCGAAACCATGAAATGTGGCGCACTTAAAGAAGTACCATGCTTGAGTTTTGTTACCTCATTTTTTTATTTTTTTTTTTACCTACGCAATTTTTACAAGTTTGTTAAGATAATTCAACCTGTTTTTGAATAGGTTCCACGTTTTCTTGCCGTGTTTGATACAATTTAAAGTCTAATGTATACGTTTTAAGGGGCACCAACCCAAGCATATGAGCTTGGGTGCCCAAGGTTAAGGGGGCAGAACCCCAAAAGGACGAGCTCGTATGCCCAAGGTTAAGTGGAAGAACCTCAAGTGGTTAGCTCGAGGGTCAAGTACTTTTCAAATGACAAAACCTCAAGTGGTAGAACCTCGAGTGGTTAGCTCGAGGGCTAAGCAATTTTTGAGTGGTAGAACTCTGAGCAGGTTGCTCGGGGGTAGTGTTATTATGTAAAACGAGCCTAGTTCAGCTCGGCTCGAGTTCAAGCTCATTTAAAGCTCGATTAGTTAACGAGCCGAGCTCGTTAAGGCTAAAAAAATGGAACTTTTATATATTTTTTATAGTTCGGCTCGTTAAAACTCGAGATCAGTCCGTCAAGGCTCGAACGAGGCCTTAACGAGCCGAGCTCGAGCACCTTAAGCTTGAGCTCGAGCTCAGCTCAGTTCATTTACAGCTCTACTCGGGGGCCATAAGTATTAAATGGTAAAATCTCTAGCAGGTAGCTCGGGAGCCACCAATTTTAAAAGGCAGAACCTCGAGCAGGTAGCTCGGGCCATAAGTTTAAAAAGGCTTGAGTGCCACGTGTTTTTCAAAGTGGCAGAAGCCTGAAACAGGTAACTCTGGTACCTAAGTAATTAAGTATTTTTTAGAAGGCAGGAGCCCGGAGCAAGTGACTCAGGTGCCTGGGTAATTAAAAGGTTGGTCAAAGAACATGAAAGTTGATCAAAGAGCACATAATGGTGCCTTTAGAATCATGTATTATGTGTTTCACCTAAATACTTTAGGACGCGAGCCAACCACATATAGAAAATGCTACAAGTACATAGTAAATGTACATAAAGATGTACATAATACTCATATGGAGTGAGGTTCACTTGATTTTTTAATTTTGGTGAGACCCACTCAATGTAAGTGTTATGTACACCTCTATGTATACTATTATGTACCTATCGCATTACTCCACCACATATTGAGTGTTTTACTTATATTTTCTATAAGGCGCCTAACCATATATACCAAGTGTTTTACTTATATATTTTATGAAGCGAGCACTAATCTATTTGAGTGTATGAACATTATTTATATAAAAATTATGTACATGCAAGCTTACTTTAAGTAAACTATATTATGAAAGAGCTAAAATTCAGTTTAAAATCAGTGTATAAACCTATACTTAATCGGTTAACTTTACACATTATTATTGCAATATTTCAAAATAACAAAAAGAAAAGTCCTAAAATTATGTACATATTAGCCATTTTCGTTGAAATTTATAAACAAATATTTCTCTCTCAAAAGTATTATTCTTTTCACTCTTCGTTGAGATTTATAAATTTTTGGAGGAAAATATTTTTTATATATAGCCAAGGCCAAGTATTTATCAGCACCGACCCTATTACTGGTCTCATGATACCCCTGCGTTATTCTTCATTAGGTCGCTTCATGACATCTAATGACCCGACCTACAGGTCGTGACAATCTCCTCACTTGACCGAACTCTCAAGTGAGCTCGACTTTCAAGTCCAACCTCATCATTGGAGTTGACCCGTACCTTGAGCTGCAATAATGAGCTTTTTGACGAGGTCAAGCCTTGAGATTGATCTGAATTCACCTTGGGCCGGTTCGCCCAACCTAAGCACTCTAATCGGTCTGCCAGGCTATTATCAGTATTATATCAATATTTCCAAATGTAATATATGCTAAATTGAATATTCATCAAAATTTCACTTTTTTCTTTTACATGTTCACATTTTTAATATACTTTTGAAACTAAAAATGAATTATTTATATACTTATGTATAAAAAAATGTATTGTTCATGCACCCACATGTTTAGAATTACCTTCTCATTATTTTACTATTTCTTAATCATCTTAATTAATTATTAGTAGATATAAAAAAATAAAAACAAAATGAATAAAATGGAGGACAAGCCCATTAATATTGCAATTTCTCAGCTTTAACGGGACAGTGCCCCAATTTTCTCTCGAATTTGCCCTAATCGATCCATTTGCAGAGGAGCTTGGGGACTAAGAACGGAGGAGGTAATTCTTCTTCCCTTCCTAAATACCCGAGCAGTGCAGATTATGAAATCGACGAGTACATATATGTTGAGTTGAGCGAGCATGCGTGGTGTTTTCTTTCTTCATGAGCATGCAGCGTACTTACATTTCTTATTTCGGTTTTAGTCTTTTATTTGTTTTGTAATTAAAGACGTGAGTCACTTAATGACTCGTGAACGCGTTTTACTTCTGTTTTTATTTCCTGCATTTTATTTGTGGCCCACGTGTCGGGTCCTGATAGGATGATTTGTAGCTGAGGGAAAATGTGTATTTGTACTGCTCATCGTCTTCATTTTTAGATCTGAACTTTTACAATGAGCTAAGAAAATATTGTGCAAAAATGGCGGTTCTGTTGTTACTTTGATTTTTCCTTCAATTAATCAGTTCTACATGGTATCTAGAGCAGGTTGATTTTGTAATCGATAATGGCGCAAAATAGAGATGAACAAGGAAGAGAGATCGTACGCAGTAGCTATTCGAGGGATATCGATCCGTTGGCCCTTCATGGATCTGATCATCCTGGGATGGTCTTAGTCACCAACCAGCTCACAGGTGCAAACTACTGACACTGGAGCCGTGCTACGAAGCTAGCCCTAAGTGCGAAGTCTAAGCTCGGTTTTATCAATGGCACGATGGTGATTCCAGAAACCAACACAGATGACTTCACTCAATATCAGAAGGTAGAATCTATGGTAATATCTTGGCTGTTAAATTCTATTTCAAAGGAAATTGTTGAGGCTTTTATGTACGTTAAGACAGCCAAACAGTTATGGGATGAGTTAGCTGAGAGGTATGGTGAGAGTAATGGTCCTCTAAAGTATCAACTGCAAAAGGAGATAACTAACTTTGCCCAGGGTTCACTTTCAGTCACCACGTACTATACCAAGTTGAAATGTCTGTGGGAGGAATACACATGTCTCATTTTCACTACCTGAATGTGTGTGTGGTTCTAGCAAAGCCTTTTCTGAGAATGATATGGTAATTAAAATCATACAATTTCTTATGGGACTTAATGAAGTATTTGAGCCGGTTAAGAATCAAATCCTTTTGATGGATCCTCTTCCAACCATTAACAAAGCATACTCCATGATTCTGAAAGTGGAAAAACAGAAAAGCATAGGAAATAATGTGATCAACCCTCTGGAAAGTTCAGCTATGCTTGCTAGAAGAAACTATGGAAGGGGAACAAACTTTGGCCGGGGTAATGGTGGAAGAAACCCAGGAGGGCAGTTTAATAACAATAGAGGAAGGGGCAGAGGCATGCCAAGACTATCCAAAGAAGAAAGAGCAAGATTATACTGCACTCACTGTGGCTACAATGGTCATGATGTGCAGGGTTGCTTTAAGATAAATGGATATCCAGAATGGTACAAAGAACTCAAGCAGCAAAGACAAGGTCAAAGTGCAAATTTGATGGAAAGTGATAATATTTCAAAGGCAGACTCTGAAGGAAAATCCCAGCACAGTGACACCTTACCTGACATTAGCTCATTAGCAAAGGAAGTTGCAAAGTACATATCAATGCAACAAGAAACAGAAACTCATACCTTTTCTCACTTGGTGGAGTCTACAAGTCAAAAGGAAGGTTACATTTTCTCACTCTTTAGCAAATTAAATGGGGATAGCTGGATTGTTGATACAGGTGCCAGCAAACACATTTGCTCAAATAGAAAGATGGTGAGATGCAGCACAGATATTGGTGTTCCTGTGATAGTAAATTTACCTGATGGATCAAAATTTGAGGTGACTAAGATGGGTGAAGTTCAGCTGAATGAGAGGATAATTCTCAAAGAAGTTCTATTGGTACCAGAATTCAAATACAATTTGTTGTCTGTGGGACAGTTAATTGAGGACAATGGCCTATGTTTCAGTTTCACAGGAAAGAATTGTAGACTATTTGATGAAAGAAGCAACTTAAGCCTTATTGAAGGGAAAGTTCTGGCAGGGTTATATATTGTGGAAAGGGAAAATTTCTGTGGAAGTGTGATGAGAAACATAGGGAGTGTGGAGAAAGACATTAGCCTTTGGCACAAAAGGCTAGGTCACAGTTCTTTTCATGCATTAAAACATCTAAGTTTCCTTAAGGACAGAAATTCAGTTGACAAGCTCAATCCATGTGAGATATGCCACAGGTCAAAGCAGTGTAGAGCCTCATTTCCTTTGAGTGAAATCAAAAGTAAGAGAAGATTTGATCTCATACACATGGATGTT